GTGGAACTGATCATAAAGCCGTATGTTCGGAAAGGAAGCTCGAGGCGGAGAAAAAGCTAGAGGATATATATATACGTATATATGTGTGTGTGTGTGTGTGTGTGTGTGTTTACATACAGGAGTCATGGAACTCTGCTTGCAGCTCCTTCATATTTCATGTACACTAATAACTTGTGTACATGGTTCTTGTTGATGGCATTAAAATCATTTCTAATAGCATTAAAATAGCATTAAATTGGAGTCACTCATTCCTGTATGAACCCTGTGAGCGCTTAATTTAATATGCCATATTAAAAAAATCCCACCATCATCCAGCATATGTTCAGTTTCTGCCCAAATATATAAATATATATTTGTAGATTTTTGTAACGGGGATAAGGATAATTCAAAACTGCTTTTTTTTAATGAACTTGTTCTCTACTCCCAAACTCAGCATCTCTTTTCATTCCTGTAATAAGAAGTTTCTTTTGAATGGATTTGATTAAAGTTTAAGTCCCTCGGTATAAAATAAATATTTTGATGGGGATGAGAAATCTGCTTCCTCGTTGGGGAATAACCAATAGTTTGGATCCAATCATTTAAATAAACGGTGTTAGTTTTGCTGCTGCTATATTTTAATTTGACGAACCGGAATTTGTCGATGTTCTTTTTCCTGTTTGGTGCGATTGCAATTGCGGATCTTGACCTGGCCGGACCGGAGCGGAGCAAAAAAATGGCTCGGCTCCGTAATTTGTCGGTGACGGACGGAGACGTGCGGAGAAGTAGCGGTGGATGTGGAACAGCTCTCATAGATTTCCATGAACGACAAGCGCTCTGCACGACGTACGTCAGCGGGGCGGAGCGGAGCGGAGTGCTGACGGAGTATGTGGAATCTGGGGGTAAGTTCACACCTAAAGCAGAAGGGGCAGTGATAGGAGCTATTTACACTGAAAAGTCAATGGTTGATGAGCATCACTAGCCTCGTGAGACCATCCTGATCTTCTAAGATTTCCCAACTTAATTTTTTTTATCTTGATCCAAGTTAGGCCGTCCTAGGATGTGTTGTTGATTTAATGCTTTGATATTCTAGACTTTGTGGATGCCAGCTGTCAGAAAGCTGCTGTAAATATCTGTCAGCGGTGCTCAGCTCCCAGTCCTCCAAGCTAAGAGAGCTGGACCTGAGTAACAACAATCTGAGAGATTCAGGAGTGCAGCAGCTGTCCTCTGGCCTGGGGAGTCCTCACTGCAAGCTGGAAACTCTCAGGTCTGGTTAAACCCATCAGGACCAGTTCTGTTTTGGTTGCTTCATAGTCAGTAAGTCACTAACCTGTGGTTTTGGTTTAACTCCAGGTTGTCAGGCTGCCTGGTTACAGGGAAAGGTTGCAGTTATCTGGCCTCAGCCTTGAGCTCCAACCCGTCCCATCTGAGAGAACTGGACCTGAGCTACAACCATCCAGGACTTTTGGGGAAGCAGATGCTGTCCTCTGATCAGAAGCTGTCGCCCTGGAAACTGACCACTCTCAGGTACAAAGATAAGACTCTTTTTAATTACATCTAGCTCTGCTATTGTGAAACGTTCCCTCTAAAAACCAAATCCTGAAGACTTTTAGGAAGTTATAATAATGAGCAAGATAGATCCTAATGCTGCCAATGGGGCCCGGTCTCATTAGACTTTATAAGACATAGCTTTGGTGCAAATTAAGGCTTTTTTAACATATGTTTGTAGACAGTAAAACATAATATAAAATCTGATTTAGATATCAGGTATTATATCCTTGAAAACTGAACAATCTACTGTAGAAAATATAAAAAAAATCATAACTTTATAGGTGACATCATCCACGCAGTGATTTTATGGTGGTTCTATTTTCTCTGCAGGTTGGATCATGGTGGAGAGGAAAGGTTAAAACCTGATGTGAGGAAGTGTAAGTTTCAAACGGTTTACTTAGTTTGTCTCTTAATAGAAAGCAAGGTGCTGTGGGAAAAAAGTATTCAACTATAGATGCCAGTTAAATGAAAAGTCCGATCAGTAAGGAATAATCAGACACAATGAAAGTGCAAGAATAATCAAGACTCTGTCAAGGGGGGAAGACCCAAATCAGGGATGCCTAAAGTTCCTCAGGGGCCGCTGCCCTGCAGGATTTATAGGTTTCCTTCCTTTAGCACAGCTGATTCTGATGATTGCAGTTCAGCAAAAGCATTTTAATCAGATATAAATGTAGAGAAACCTCTAAAGTCTGCAGGACCGTGGCCCTCGAGGACCGACTCTGGAGATGCCTGACCTAAATGCAGAGATGAGTGAGTAAGAAATTAGTTCTTGTATGTTTAATGATGAAAAAATGAGGCAAACATCCAAAAACACAAAAAATATTGAAAACTTAAAACCAGCAAATATCAAGGAAACTCACGTGGTGATCCAGGGACGAGGAAGCACCTAATAATCAACAAGGAACCAGCAAACATTGACTGAACCTGAGGCGTTTAAAGAGAGACTGAACAAAGACCAGGCTAATCAGCAGATTGGGAGCAGGTGTGGATGGAAGCGACCAGAAGGGAGCTAGGGGAAATTAAACAGCCACAAGGGGGCAACAGAGAGCAACCAAAGACTGCTTAAACATAAGATGGAAAATAAACCAAAAGATCAACAAAACAGAATAACTGATAACTGAAAACCAAAAACTCAGAGCCTCAAAAGGGGAAAACCATAAAACTCTCCTGTTTTCTTTTTTTTTTTGCTTTGTTTTTAAATAATAAATAATAATCAAATATTTGTCCTTCATTTTTGTAGCATTTTTAAGCTGTAGTTTACAATCTATAGCAGGTGGTTCTACACGTCAATACATCAGGTGGTTTCTGAAAGTTACAGGTTCGTTAAAATTACTCCTACTAAAATTATACAGAAATGTACGGAGCCCCTAAAGGGACATGGAGGGGAAAAAAAGAACTTTTGCGAGATCCCGCAATACTTTTGCAAGATCTCGCAAAAGTATTGCGGGATCTCACGAAAGTATTGTGGAATCTCGCAAAAGTATTGCGAGATCTCGCAAAAAATAAACTTTTGCGACATCCCGCAAAAGTATTGCGGGATGTCGCAAAAGTTTATCCCTTTAGGGGCTCAGTAGAAATGTACTGATTGTAGAATTAGTACTTTTAAATCCATGTACTTTCAAATACATAACAGTTTTCAGAAGTGATTACTTTAACTTGAGTAGAAGTTTCACTGAGTAACTTTTACTTCTAGTTGAGTAAGATTTGACTATGAGTATCCAAACCTCACCCCAAGTACTATAGTCGAGTACTTCGTCCAACTAGGTATACCGATGTAAATCAATATATAAAATCGGAAATGAATAGGAATCTAAATTTTCCGACCAAACAAGGAAAGGTTTTATTGTGTACTTTCCAACTCCAATAAGTTTCCTACTTCTTTTAAATTCAACTAAAATTCTAATTCTATTACAAGTATAAGTATTTAAAGGACCCTGATTTTCTTCTTTTTTTATCAGATTTCTGTGAACTTGAAGTGGACATGAATTCAGTCAACAGAAAACTCAGACTTTCTGACAACGACTCCAGGTTTAGCATGGGGGAAGAGGAGCAGCCGTACCCGGATCATCCTCACAGATTCCAGCAGTGCTGGCAGCTGATGTGTAGAAACGCAGTGACTGGTCGCTGTTACTGGGAGGTGGAGTGGAAGGGAGGAGTTCTCATCTCGCTGAGCTACAAAGGAATCGGGCGAAGAGGAAACAGAGAGGACTGCAGATTTGGGAGGAACGATCAGTCCTGGGCTCTGGAGTGCTCTGATGTCTTTGGTTTGTCTGCCTGGCATGTTAACAGAGAAACCAACATCCCTCCTCTTTCTAAAAGCCAGAGAATCGGAGTGTTTTTGGACTTCCTCGCAGGAACTCTCTCCTTCTACTGCGCCTCCTCCGAGACGCTGGTTCACCTCCACACCTTCAGCACCACCTTCACTGAACCCGTTTATCCCGGCTTTGGTTTGTGGACTGGAGCATCAGTGTCTTTGTGTTCAGCAGATTCAAGCAAACCCACAGCTTAACGCTGCCCCACTGTAAATATGACAGCAATACAATCAATAACATAAAAAAAGTTGATTTAACATCTAAAATATACACTTATTAAACAAATGAAACTTCTTTTCTGTGTGAACAGTTAAACTTCTCTAAGTAAAACATGTTTAAGCTAAATCATGTGTCCCTTCCTATGTTCATCCATCCTACTGTCAAACGCTCCACTGCTGTGACCTCTGCTCCATTGCTGGTTAAACTCCAACAATTTAGCCACAATTTTAGCATCAAACTGAATGAAATCAACATAGCAGCATAAGTCTGACAAGATAGTCAGATAACCCTAAAATGTTGAATTATTATTTAATCATTTTTCTATATATAGTGCCATGAACCTTGATGCAATAGCTTATTATTTCCACTAGATGGTGCAAAAAGATTAAAGCATCTTAACTGCCGCTTAGAGTCAAAACATTAAATCTGAACATATGTGAAAACTTCCTGATTCCATTTCTTCTTAAATTTACATTTAATACATAAATGCACATAAACTTAATTCTTAAAGCTGTACAGACGTTGTTAGTAAATTGAAATTTTCCAAATCTGTCTGTAAAATAGGCCTGAATTCACTCTGAATGCTTTTTGGATGCATTCCTGCATCAGTGGAGGATATCAGCCTGTGGTTCTGCTGAGGTCTTCATGAAGTCCAGGTTCCTTTGATAGCAACCTTCAGCTTCTCTGTGTTTCAGCTCTTTTTGCTGCTGCTGCTACAAATAGCAAATAATGATGAAGAAAGAAAATCAAAATTTTCATTATTATTAAATACAGTATAAATGAGATGAGGTGATCTACCTTCTACACTAACGAGGTGGATGCATCCCTGTGTTCATTTGCATTTTTATTCTGAGCTCCACAATGCTGCAGCATTGATTTCAACTACCTGGACCCGCAGTCGGCCTTTTAAAACAAACAGCTGCTGAACTTTGAACCTCTGGTTTGGAACCACATGTTGGACCGGCATGACAGGAAAAACAGCTGCTCTGAACTTTCTGTTCACTTCTGAGGATGGCTGAGAGAAGGTCGTCAGCAGTGAGGGCAGCAGAGCTGGACTTCCTGCAGTTTAATGATCTCGCCTGTGAAAGTGTCGGAGGGAAGGTGAATAATACAGCAAGTAGATTGACTTGATGGAATATAAACAGCTAAAATGTATAAGATTAACATCATATTACAGCTGGATGGGTAACTGCAGATAGGGAAACTAGAGAGGCATGCTACCAGTGGGGAAAATTATGCTTTAGCTCAAAGTTTTAGGGAAATCATATTTGAAAGCCAAATCATTCTGGCTTAAACATGTATATAAATGTATTTTTTTATCAGACCATATTGTACCAAAATTAAAAAAAAATTCTATTCTAAAAATATCCTTTCTTAAATCTGTGTTGTTGTTTTTTTCGTTATCTTCTGCAGGCCAGTTAGTTCTACGTCAGCCTGAACACCTAAATTCGGCCAATCATATATCCACAGTCATCTGTCAATCAAATGTTTTCGGTCATAGCATCTTGATTCATATGTCGCTGTCATGATGGGTTTCTGGGTGCTAGCCCATATGCAGAACACAACTCAGAGACGGGAAAAAGTTCAATGGTTTAATTTAGAAGAGGTGCAAAAACAAGTCAAGGGGAATAATCAGGTCCAGGGCTGGTCACGGCTGGGTTACTGTCCTGGAGCTTGAGCAGAGCAGCAGAGGGGGAGGTTACCAGGAGGGTTCAGAGGCTGACGGCAGGCTGAGGGCTCGGAGGAGGCTTGGCTTGGCTGGGGCTTGTAGATCTCCAGGTTTGGGTTCAGAGGCAGACGGCAGGCTGAGGTCTGAGCAACGGCAGGGCTCGACTTCAGACTTATCAGTGTTCTGATTCAGAGTTTCTTCCAATCCACTTCTTGAGGGCGGGCAGGCTGGTTCAGACAGTAGATTCTTCAGATGAGCTCCTGAGAGCCGGCAGGCAGATTTCAGCAGAGAAACTCTTCCAGAGTTCCCGGGTTCAGTCAGGTTTCTTCCTAAGAAGCAGAGAAGACAAAAACTGATTAGGTTCAGGTTCTGGTTTCAGGGGAGTTAGAGAATCAGACAGGCTGGTTGGCTCAGGGTTTGCTGTACCGTGACTGACTAACACTTTGGCGCTGGAGTGAGGTTCTCAGCCCGCTTAAAGGAGAAGTTCGGTTTTTTACACTTTAAGCCCATTTTCTGTAGTGTCCAGGATGAAATCGAATGAAGGACACCAAAATTTTGACATTTGGTCCTGTCTCTGCTTTTTGGCTCATTTAGAATCCCCCCCTGGCTGCTTTAGAATGGCTAGCATAGAGCATGTCCGATAATGTCCTTAAAACAACCTTAAACGTTCTTTTTTTTAAATATGCTACTCACCGTGTCGTCAGCGCTGTTCAATGACGTTCCAAAAAAAGTTTCGTGAAGAAAAAACGTTCCTGTAGTGTTTTATTTAGCATTTTGTAAATCCCATTGAGTTCTGTTGGAATAGTCAATATTCCGCTGCCACCGGAAACGGAAATGGGGCCTGTTTACACAGTTGTAGTCTTTTCGCTTCACTCTGTGTACTCCGACGTCGAGAATCAAGAATCCACCTTTCGTATTCCATTTTCAGAGTTTTTTAAAGTGTTTAACAGAGACGTTAGCACCTCGACGTCGGAGTACGCAGAGTGAAGCGAAAAGACTACAACTGTGTAAACAGGCCCCATTTCCGTTTCCGGTGGCAGCGGAATATTGACTATTCCAACAGAACTCAATGGGATTTACAAAATGTTAAATAAAACACTACAGGAACGTTTTTTCTTCACGAAACTTTTTTTGGAACGTCATTGAACAGCGCTGACGACACGGTGAGTAGCATATTTAAAAAAAGAACGTTTAAGGTTGTTTTAAGGACATTATCGGACATGCTCTATGCTAGCCATTCTAAAGCAGCCAGGGGTTGATTCTAAATGAGCCAAAAAGCAGAGACAGGAGCAATTGTCAAAATTTTGGTGTCCTTCATTCGATTTCATCCTGGACACTACAGAAAATGGGCTTAAAGTGTAAAAACCCGAACTTCTCCTTTAAGTACATGTCTCCTGATGAGCAGATGAAGAACAGCTGGTGAAGTCAGCTCCAGCCTCAGGAGATCCAGTACGCCCTCTGGTGGAGAAAAGGTAGACAGAACCCCAGATCCCAACAATAACACAAAAAGCCCTAGGAAGGGATCCTCGGCGCCCTCTGGTGGGCAAGCCTCAGGATCCCAACAGAGCCCCCCCCTCAAGGGCGGCTTTCAGACGCCCTCAGAACAGTCCAAAACCAAAACACAAAACAACCCACCCAGGGTGGGCGGAGGGGGCACCAGGCAAGGAGGGCAATAAAAAACAGAGTCCATAACAAAAAACAACCCACCCAGGGTGGGCGGAGGGGGAACTAGGCAAGGAGGGCAAAAAACAAAAACTGAGTCCAGAACAGAAAAACGACCCACTTAAGGTGGACGAAAGCAACGAAAGTCTCTGACGATTCACTACGCAGAGTCTCAGGTGGCCGGCCGTGGGACCGCGGCGGGGCAGGGTCTCAGGTGGCCGGCCGTGGGACCGGCAGCGAGGCAGGGTCTCAGGTGGCCGGCCGTGGGACCGGCAGCGAGGCAGGGTCTCAGGTGGCCAGCCGAGGGGCCGGCAACGAGGCAGAGTCTTAGGTGACCGGCTGAGAGGCCGAAGGCAAGGCCGATGTTCCGGGGGCCGAGGACGTGGCAGACGCTCAGGAGGCCGGCCGTTGGGCCGGAGGCAAAGCAGAGTCCTTGGAGTACGGCCGCAGGGCCGGAGGCAAGGCAGACGCTCTGGGGAATGACCTCTCTGTCGCTGCTGAATCTTCGGAGGAGGACAACGTCTCCACCCCTGCAGGAGTTTAGGAGGAGGACGACGCCCCAATTTCAATAGGCAGCCCCAAGGTGAACGCCGTCCCCTCTTCAGCGGCTCAGCAACAATCTCAGAGGGGACCGCGGACTGCGGCTCTGGAACAGGGTCCGAGGAGGCCGCCGACTGCGGCTCAGGAACAGTCTCAGAGGTAACCGCCGACTGCGGCTCAGGAACAGACTCTGAGAAGGCCGCCGACTGCGGCTCAGGTACAGTCTCAGAGGTAACCGCCGACTGCGGTTCAGGAACAGACTCTGAGAAGGCCGCCGACTGCAGCTCAGGTACAGTCTCAGAGGTAACCGCCGACTGCGGCTCCTGGACAGGAACAGAGGAGACCGCCGACTGCGGCTCCTGGACAGGAACAGAGTAGACCGCCAACCATGGCTCCGAGTCAGGAACAGAGACCACCGACTGTGGCTCCGGATCAGGAACAGAGGAGACCACCCACTGTGGCTCCGGATCAGGAACAGAGGAGACCACAGACTGTGGCTCCGGATCAGGAACAAAGGAGACCACCGACTGCGGCTCCCGATCAGGAACAGAGGAGCCCGCCGACTGTGGCTCCGGATCAGGAACAGAGGAGCCCGCCGACTGCGGCTCCGGATCAGGAACAGAGGAGCCCGCCGATTGCGGCTCTGGATCAGGAACAGAGGAGCCCGCCGATTGCGGCTCCGGGTCAGGAACAGAGGAGCCCGCTGATTGCGGCTCTGGATCAGGAACAGAGGAGCCCGCCGATTGCGGCTCTGGATCAGGAACAGAGGAGCCCGCCGATTGCGGCTCCGGGTCAGGAACAGAGGAGCCCGCCGACTGCGGCTCCGGATCAGGAACAGAGGAGCCCGCCGACTGCGGCTCTGGATCAGGAACAGAGGAACCTGCGGATTGCGGCTCTGGATCAGGAACAGAGGAGCCCGCCGATTGCGGCTCCGGGTCAGGAACAGAGGAGCCCGCTGATTGCGGCTCTGGATCAGGAACAGAGGAGCCCGCCGATTGCGGCTCTGGATCAGGAACAGAGGAGCCCGCCGATTGCGGCTCCGGGTCAGGAACAGAGGAGCCCGCTGATTGCAGCTCCGGGTCAGGAACAGAGGAGCCCGCCGACTGCGGCTCTGGATCAGGAACAGAGGAACCTGCGGATTGCGGTTCCGATTCAGGAGCAGAGGAGCCCGCCGATTGCGGCTCCGGTCCCAGCGTGGAGGAAACCGCCCATGGTGGCACAGGTTCAGCCCCTGAGGTGGCTTGAAGTGCCTGCAGAGGGCTCTTGGCCATTTGGGGCCCCAGCTGAGGTTCTCTTAGAGGCGTATTTCCACTAACCCCGATTTCAGAAGCCTTTCGAAATATATGCTCAGGGGTCTCCGGACGGCACAGAACTGGTTCAGGGGTCTCTTGACGATCCCAACAGTCGCAGCTAATATACGCAACGGTTGAAATCAGAATCCTTTCCTTTCCCATTGAGTTCCGTCCCAGTGTTCACAGGGATGGACGTCTGTGTCTTCGGCAGGCGTAGAGCTAACAGAACTGGCAGCGTTGCGAGGCAAGGGCTCAAACATGTACGGCTGGAAGCCTTCTACACCAAACCAAGCTTCTGCCGCCCTGGCGTCCTCTTCCACAACATCTTCGTCCCCGCTTTCCTCCTCTAAATAAAAAATGGATGACGGAGGAGACTCATCCACGACCTCCGACACTAAACTCTCCTCCTCTTGCATGTTTCCGCTGTCCATAGCGTTCCTTGACAGCGTTGTTTCTAAGTCACCAATTTAGTGCTACTTTGTCCCAATGGAATTTCCCATTGGGAACCTGCTAGCACTAAGATGCTAACTGGTTAGCAAGATGCTTCCGACAAACCAGCCACAACAAAAATGCTTGTGAACCTTCCGCCACAACAATCCCGCCCCCTTGATGATCGATCCGATCACATTCACTTTATTCACTCGTGCAAAGTCGGGCACCACTCGGGAGAATTCGGAAATGCAACGGTTGGAACGGCCCTACGACTTTAAAGCACATTTGAGAACTTGTAAGGAAACTCGGCAGGTTTTAGTGTCAAAAGACAATAAATTAAAGTTAGTTAACAAATCCACAATTTCTGGACAACTTAGAGTCAAATATTAATCTCTGTTTAATGTCACAAAATATTAATAAATTCAAACACAAGCAAACCATTTTAAAGGAAAAGTCCGCTCACATTCAGAATACAAACTTCTCAAAGTACCTTAAAAATAAAATTATTCCATCCTGTTCAATTAATGATCAGTGTTTTCAATTCAGAGTAATTTTCATGTGAATGTGCTTTACTGGAGGCATCCATGTTTGTCAAAGAACACTACTGCCACCTACTGGTTAGTAACGTCACGGTGCGGTATCGGCTGTTGATCAAGTCCCAGTGCTGTATCTGGTGTTTGTCACAACGCGCTATTATCCAAGTCATCTTGAAAACATTCTTCTTCCAAATGTTGGCTACATATTACGGGTTTTTTCTCTGGCCAGAAATTCGATGGCAAATCCTCCCTCTTCAAGTTGGCGATCCAACGACCAACCCGTCCATGGAGGATCAGGAATCAGAAAGGTGGAATAACTCTTTTTTTTCCACTTTTACCCGATGTATTCCAGCATCCAGCTGCCATGCACGTGGGCATTGTCAGTTTCACTATAGCTCTGGTGAATTTCAATGGTGAAGTCCTCTGGAAATCTTCAATAATTGTTGTTGATAGCAGATGTGTCTAGTAGTTCCCATTGATTTAGCTTGTAAAGCAGGGAGAATGGCGCTAGGCTTACCGCACCGTGACGTCACTGCTGGAAGATGGCAGGAGGGAGGGGTTACTATATTTGGGCAAAAATGGCCGCTCCCAGACTCAGTGAGTGTGAAAAAAATAATGTTTTTATTTTTTTACTGATTAACGCTGAATTCATTGAATCACGTATCAGTTTTAGGTATAAATAATGATCCATTGATTATTCTTCGCTGACCGGACTTTTCCTTTAAATAACCTGTTTCCATGTGTCTGGTTGCTTCGTTCTGCTGCTAACATTTTGCTCTGTTTTTCATTTTCCCAGGTTATTTTTGCCACAGATGAGTGGTTTGCTCCTGCTAAAAACCTGCTAAAGGTGAAAATCTTGTTTATATTGAATTTACCTTCATGATATAAAAGCATTGCTGACCAATTCTGGAAAACAAACCACATAAATAGGCTTTTAATTCAAACAGTGTTTATATCTTCATGTCTCAGAATTCCTCTCTGGCTCCACAGTTGGACATTTGAAGACAGTTACAGGAAGTGAGACTTAGATTTACTCATAAATAATCTAGAGGGGGATCCAGATATAAATATCTGACCGAGATTCTGTGCTGGTAGGTTAAGATTAGGGTGATGGTAAAGAGGTTTTCCAATATAAAAAACATTTAACTTATTAATGAAAGATCAATAATCGAAATACCAGAAGAAACACGGAAAAACCTGTTAGCTGTTAGCAGGATCTGAAATCTAAATTAAACAATCACTTTTTAATGTTGGAACATTAAAAGGATGATTGATTTATGCAATGAGAACCTGCAGTCTATGCATCTATTCATCTTATTTATTTGCACAGTGGCCTATCTATCATTTGATATCCCTTAAACATTGAGACTTTTAAAATAAGCAGCCTTTATGTTTGAACAGAGAGATCCTCCTCAGTTCATCGGATCTGCCTTCACCGAATTTGGGAAGTGGATGGATGGATGGGAGACGAGGAGGAAGAGGATACCTGGTGAGCATTGCAAGTGTGGAGTGCATAAAAGTTAAATAAATCATTTGAGGGGTGTAACAAAGTATGTCTTAAAAAGACAGTGTCCTGCAGGTTGTAGATGTTTCCTTATTTTATTACAAGATTAAGATATTTGCAGCAAAAGTATTTTCATCACCCTTTAATTTAAAGAGCATATGTCATGCCCGGTCACTGTTCTGAGCTTTTAACTGTGCTATAATACTATTCCTTCATCAAAATTAGGCATTACATGAAATGCTACGTGATTCATGTATCTTTGGGTTATCTTTATTAGGTCTGCTGCCTGAGCAGCAGCGCCTACCTTAACCGCACTGCGCCTGCACTTTATCCGATCTAATCTGATTAGGAAGAGGTGAGGTTAGGCAGAGTGCTGTGATTGCAGATCAAAGTTCAGATGAAGTGGCTCTTTAAAGGTAATCGGCAGCACTCTGTTTGAGCTAATTCCTAAGAAATGAGAATCTTCTTTTGGCTGTGATAGCTTGTGCATTGCGTTATATTGTCAAGGTTTGGTTGTAGTTTGGAGGACCCCAATGCAGAGGCAGAGAGGCTGAGGAGATTTCTAGGAGTTTTAATGGGGCAAAAACAGTCAACAAAGGCAGGAATCAAAAAATCCAACTAATAATGAAAAGCAAAACAGAACTATCGAGACATCTGGGGAAACTAAAGACGAGGAGCCAGGGAGAGACGAGGTAGGTGGACACCAGCATGGGAGGACAGCAAAGACAAGGAACCAACAAAGGTGAGAGCAGAGGGAGAGAATATATAGCTGACAGAGACAAAGGGAGGGCTAACGAGCGGATAAGGTGAGAGGAGACAACGAGGGAGCCAAGGGGAAAGGAACACGGACAAGAGGGCAACAGAGGAAAACAGAAAAACCTGAGAAGTAACAAATCTAGAACTTACAGCAAAAAAGGAATTAAACCAATAAAACTAGGAAACATGGAGCAAAGTAAAGCACAATAGAAACAAGACCATGACATATATGGGGACATCATGATGAAGCTGGGAGCCACCCAGATGGGGAGAGGCAGCTTCGCTTTGAAGGCAAAGGTTTTTCTTCAGGACTGGAAGAAAACATCTATATTTCATATCAACCTTATACTCTGCAGTGCTTAAAGGCTGTACTTCATCATATATGTATGCCAATAAATAACTTTACCGGTAGCTTATTTCCCACTGAAATAGTGCGTTTATGCGTGTTTTTTTCAAACTTGGGTTGACCCGCTAACAATTGTCATATGGCTCCTTTCCCATCATTGATTATTCAGTCCAGTTTATCATCTAATCTTGGAACATTTCATCTCCATTCACAGTATAAAATGTTACTTTGAGGTTTTATGGTATGAAAATGTTTAATCCAGGGGGCGGATTTACCATTAGGTAGTTGCCTAGGGCCCCAAGTTCCTAGGGGGGCCCTTAAAACTTTCTTTACATGTATGGTTAATACAACTTTTCCTTACTTTCTCACATTAATTATGTTGTTGATAAAAAAATCCTTTGGCTAAAATGCCATCAGAATGCTGATAATATTAAGTGTGTCTCAGCCCCCCCCTTCAGTGTCCACCATATTGGATCAGTCCATTTGCTGCACATGTTCAGAAAGGTCCAAACAGACAGCAGCAAACCATTTGAAAACAAACCATGCAAAGAGCAGTGTTGCCAACTTAGCGCTTTAGTCGCTATATTTAGCCACTTTTCAGACCCCTCTAGCACTTTGATTTCTAAAAAGCTCCTAGCGCCAAATCTAGAGACTTTTTTCTGCTACTGGAGACTTTGGAGACAACATCTAAAAGCAGCGAACTCTGCTCTCCAGAGCGAGTAGATTGGTAACCCCGCCCCCTGCTCTCCTCTATCTTGTCTGCTGTCATGATTCATGCAGCTATTATTTCATCCAAATGAAAAATGGAGAACAGATAAGCAGATCATGGCTTGTCTACAGTGAAAAGAAGGACTGGGTTATTTACTTTGGCCTTTTTGGAAACACAGGAAGGAGCAATCAGCTAAGTGAGCTTAGTGCTTGGAAAAAATCTTTCATTCCTTTAGAGACAGCATGAAAAGTGTCATGTTCTTTTTAAGGGATCTGGCCCACATGCAAGAAACCACTCAGAGAACCAGAGAAAAGGTTTAGCAGGTTTATTGAAAACACGATGCGTGGATCCAGTGTTTCTCAGAACGCTGGTGAACCGGAACTGGAAGTGAGAAGGGAAGTTCAGTGTTTGGTTCAGGCTCAGTGGGAAACTTAAACGGCAACTTGCAAAGACAGGGGCTGAAACGGGACTCACGTTTCCGGAGGAGAATCAAGTCGGTGTGGGTTATTTCTGAACTTGGTTGACTCGTTGGAGGGCGGACAGGGTTTACTCGGGTTTGGTTGGTTTCTGAGGAGCGATGGAGCTGACTGCCACTTAAATTTCCTGAAGTACTTGAACGGTACGTATGGAGATTTGTCCCCTGCTCAGTGTGAAGCTCAAACAATCCTATCGGGGGAAGGAGGTCCAAACATCCAGTTTGCATCCCCAGCTCAGTATGAAGCTTAAACGTTCCTTCCAGGGGGAGAAGGCCAAAACATCCAGTTTGCAGGATGCCTTCCTGCCGAAAGGCAAAAGACAAAAAAAAACCCAATAAGGTTAGGGCTCAGGAAGACAAAGACTCAGTTAGACTCTGCTAAACCCAGCTTGGCTAGAGCACCCAAAACTGGCAAACACTCTGGCGTCGAGGTAGTGGGAGTCAGCAACTTAAGAGTCCTCAGATAGTGAGGCAACCATTCGCAGGTGTGTGGAAGGGCCAGCGAGAACCGGACGCCACCTGGTGGTGGAGGGAGAAAACACAAACACACACAACCCACACAAACTGGATTCCTAACAAAAAAATCAGCTGAGTACAAAACATAGAGAGGAAAACAAGAAGAAAAGGGACAAAACCTAGAACAGATAATGGATGTCTATTCTATTAACATTTCTCTATCTGTAGAATGGGTCTGTTCTATGTGTTGTCTTCTCAATTCAGAGGGCCCCCTGCCTGTCTTTACCTAGGGCCCCAAATTTCCTAAATCCGCCCCTGGTTTAATCTGAGGTAGAGAGGAGATTGTTGTTAAATCTGAAAGGTAATTATTGGAATTAATTAACATCCTCCAAATGACAGAAATCTTGTTTTTTGTCTTATTTCTCATTCAAGGTCACGACTGGTGCATCATTCAACTTGGCGTACCTGGTCTGATTTATGGAGTTGATGTCGACACATCTTTCTTCACAGGAAACCATGCGCCATATGTCTCCATCCAAGCCGCCTGTCTCGGTACCAACCTCTTTGTCATTATCTTCGCTCTTTACTGAACCTGAAGGCATCGCCCTTCCTTTACTTCCTTATATTGAGCTGGTGTTTAAGAGTGTGAATGTGTGAGTTAAACACCTCATCCTGACCAGGTGAGCTGCCCTCCTTCACCCCTGGGGAAGATCGGACAGGCATGGCCGCCACTGAAACTCAGCAAGCTGCTGTTTCCAAGGTAACTGGGCATGTGATGTCAGAGCGGTGATTGTCATGTTGGTATTATAGACCAAAAACATGTCATGATGGTGATCCGTGACCTTTGTTTAATGGAACTCGGGGCTGACATTATATGGTCTTACTGATGGATAAGGTTTGATGGTTTTTGTGATCGACAGCTGAGCTCGGAGGCTTGGCCAGAGCTGGTGAGCGTTTCCCAGCTGCAGCCTGGATACTCAGACTCTTGTCACAACTACTTCAGGGTCAGCCCCAAGAGGAGAGTCACACACCTGCGCCTCAACATGTTTCCAGGTAAATCATCTCCTAAAAACACAGGCTCCAATAATCCTGACAGAAACCGGTTTGTTTATGGCAACGTCCTCTGAATCAGTTTCTCTTTTAAGGAAGATTGATCACACATTAAAACAGTTTTTATTATTTTCCAGATGGAGGAATAGCCAGACTGAGGGTGTTTGGTATCGGGCACAGGGACTGGTCGTCTGTCCCAGCCAACCAGAACGTTGACCTCATTGCCCTGACTAATGGGGGAGTCTGCCTTGGCTACAGCGAAGCCCACTTTGGACATCCACGCAACATGATTGGTTAAAATTAAATTCTTAATTTTGTCGTGTTCTCCTTGTATTCAGGAGTCAGCTGATGTCTGCTTGGAGCCAGAATACAAAACATTTCATGACGGCCAAATGTAAAAAAAAAAAAACAGCAAAGTTCATTTAAAAAGTATTATCTGATTTTTAGCAACCAAAATGGCTGCCATATTCAATAGATGTTCAATTCAACTCAGTTTATTTCTATATCACCAATTCACAACACTTCATCTCAAGGCACTTTACAATTCAACCAGATCATCCAGTCAAAAATGTATTCAAAGTTTTCTATCTAAGGAAAACCAGTTGATTGCATCGACTCATTGACTCAAAGGCAATCCTTCACAATAAGCATGCTTGTAGCGACAGTGGAGAGGAAAAAATTCGAATTTAACACGAAGAAACCTCCCTAAGAACCAGGCTCAGTGTGACCGGCCATCTGCTGAGGCCGACTGGGGTTCAAGGAGACAGAAGCAGAGATACAAAAAGCAACTGTAAAAGGCGGCGCTGTCCAGGACACACACCAAGGCAGACGAGCTCCAAGCCAGTTCCAGAGGATGAAGAGAGCACATCCAGTTAGTCACAGTCAGAGAAACAGGACTACACTGGAATACAGGATGGAGTCACAGCCAAACAGGAACAGACCAGATGAAGCTACTATGAGAAAAAGCAGAGAGAGCAGAACATTAGAGATTGAACTAACAGATTCTGCAGAGTGGGAGAACAGAGATAGAATGAAGCAGAATGATGAAAAAGGGGTCCCTATGTCCTCCTGCAGTCTAAGCCTATAGCAGCATAACTATAGAGATAGCTCAGGATAACCTGAGCCACTCTAACTATAAGCTTTATCAAAAAGGAATGTTTTTCACGTTACTTGAATAAACCATTTATCCACAACTCTAACCCAAAAATAAGAAATGAAACAACATTCTTAAACCAGAACTAGTTGCGGTTGGGCGGAAAAAACCCCCCAAAACGCTCCGCTGTGTTTTACCAAAATAAATTTCTTGTCTTTATTAGGACTTGGAAGAGCTGCCAACATGGCCGACGGATGGGAAACGGCCCGCAGATTGGACCGACCCAAAATACTGAAGGTTTCATCACAAAGAATCAAATTTCTCTTATTTAATATTTTTTCATGCCATTGTTCTTTAAACTGCCATGGAAATCCTGCACAACCTAAAATCAATCACAAGTCTTTCTTTTAAACTCAGGTTCTAAAGTTCATTTATTACAACAACATATACACTTAAAGCAGAAAACAAGAAAGGCAGAAACATTAAAAGAGATTATGAGATCCCTAACTCAAACTCAGAGTTTAACAGGAAGAGTAATGCAGCCAGGTTTACAATATAATACACAAATCTCTGTTTTATAGCTTTCTCCCTAAATAAAGTGATGATTTGTGATGAACTACGATTTTTTGCCCTTTTCTGGCCGATTCTCCAGTCATGCAAGAAATGTTTAAATCGGGCCGACTTTCAGCCTGATTGTGCGTTGTGTAGTCTACAATGAGTAACGAGGGGCGATCAGCCTCTAAGGACCACCTCCCAATCAGGAATCGTACGGTTCGGGAAAAAATCAAACATGTTTGAAAATCAGTCGGCCGTCGTAAGGTGGTCGTGGGTGAATGGTTCAGTGGGCAAACAAGGATCCTTCTTCTTCTTCTTTCTGTAAAATCGACAGACCGTAGTAGCTAAGTTTGCTCAGCCATGTCTTTGTCCAAATACGTCGTCACCTTTTCTTTTTAGGGCTTTCAGCACAGAATTGCACAAATTGCCAAGGCAGCGCATTTCACTCTAGTGAGCTTCATATTTAACAGGAATCGTTTGGCTTCCAGATAGACAAGTCCGAGTAATGCCAACTCACTACGAAGCTGAGTCCGACCTGGTTTTTAGACGTACAGTGTGAGCAGGTACATCCATCAGAGCGTCGGGTCGCACAGTGTTAGAACAAACTCCGTGAGCGGTGAACTCACACTGTACGACGAAACCACAGGGTTTCATCGTACAGTTTGAGCTGTAGTTGCGTGCAACGAATGAAACGATTGCACAGTGTATGCCGGGTGTTCGGGCAGTTTAGCATACCCAGTCAGACCAGCATACCCGTAGTCAATACCTGTTTATCCCTCTAGTTAATCCCTTTAGTTTAAATATTTAGTTTATCCGTTTAGTTTTGTATGAAAAATTTTAAGGATTTGGTGTTGGTTTGAGGAACCAAATGCAGAGGCAAGTAGGCAGAGGTGAATTTAAGTGGGTTTTAATAAGGTTCACAGGAACTGAGGCAGGAGTCAAAAAATCCAACAAAATAACAACGAACCAGAACCAAGGAGACATCAGGGGAAAACCCAACTCTAGGACCCAGGGAGAGATGAGGAAGGCACACAGACGTTAGACGAGGATCCAGCAAACAGGAACTGAAGAGGGAGGCTTTTAAAGGGGACAGAGACAAAGAGAGGGCTGACGAGGGAATTGAAAACAGGTGAGGGCAGAGCAGAAAACAGAGCAAGGGAAAGAGGACACAAGAGGGCAGCCGAGGACAACAAATAGAAAACCAAGAAGAAAATCATAACAAAAACAGAAACCTAACAAAAATAGACTTTATACTATCTCAACAGGCATGTATCGCTTTAGTCATGTACAAAAAAACTTTTTAATTACTTACTTTTTGGTGCTTTTTGAAGCGTGACTATCATGCCTTTTTTCGTACAAAATTAAACGGATAAACGCAAATCTGACGTCTTGTCTATGCGTGTTGACTATGTGAATGCTGGTCTGACAGAACACCAGCTTTAATGCCACAGACAAAAATAGAAAAAAATATTATTTTCTTGAAAATATTGATATACAGTGTTATCAACCGGATTTTACAATTATCTTTCTGGAACTTTGATCTGGAAACAACATAGCTTCAAAGGTCATAGGCAGTGAAAGAGGTTAAAGGATATTTTTCCTTTATGAAACTCATACAAAGACTTCATGACACGTGTTTTTTATAAAATGTTGATAAAGTGATTTTCGCAAAATATGGGAGCTTTGCAGGGAGCCAAGTTTCAGTTAATAATTATTATCATTCTCATGAACAAAAATAGATAGTGTAAAGTTGAACAGTCACAGACATGTGATATGATTCCTGCTGCTGCCATCTTGCAGGCAGACCATCAGGGGATCCTCCAGGTGCCTGGCTGGGAGTGGGCCGTGTTTCGTCTCGGTCATCCTGGGCTGATCAGCAGCATCGAGGTCGACACAAACCATTTTAAAGGTAGAAATCATGCACAGACGCTTCTGTTCACGTTTAATATAAACAGGAACGTATCTTTTTATCCTTATGATTTTTGCTCAGGTAACTTCCCAGACTCTTGTCGGATCGAAGCGTGCGTCTTAACACCCGAAGAGGAGAGTAGATGCATCCAGACCAGATGGGACTCTGGTAAATGGAAAGTTCTCCTGCCATCTCAGAAGGTTAATATTCAGCTCTACTGGGATTGTTTTTAGCCGTGCTTTGATTAGCAGCTAACCGCCATGTTCATCTATGCGGTGCAGCTCCGTCCTCATCACAGGCATCGCTACAGCAGAGCGGATCTCATGCTGAACCATCCTGTCAGCCACGTTTGGCTCGTCATCGCTCCTGATGGGGGAGTCAGCCGCCTCCGTCTGTGGGGTCAGCCCACAGTGATCGCAGGAGCTCCAGCCAATCAGAAGGGACCATCATCTAAACTCTGACACTTCATTGCTTATTCATTCTCACCAGGCAAACATTGAAAGAGAAATTTGTGATAACTTGAAACTGCAACACGAAATTCACTTTGATGGTCTAGGATTAAAACTTTTACAAAGTAATTTTCAATGGCCCTGACATATTTAGGATTCTAGCGAATCTGCTCATTTAAGCCGGGCCAACAAAGTACCATTTTGTTCAATCATTGCAGGGAGCTACTAGCCTCGTGAGACCATCCTGATCTCGCGAGCTTTCAAGGTTTCACTCGCTAATCAGTCTGGAGACTCTCCGTTAAAGAAAATTTGGAGCCGTTCACCAAACGAACGTCCAATCAGCGTTGGCTTTGAGGCGGGTTGAGGTGTGACGCAACGAGAAGCGCGACAGTTCAGTCTAAAGAACATGGCGGCTTCAGCCGATGAAACTAGCGTTAGCGTGGCTATCGAGCAAGTTTTATCGGAATTACAGAGTATTTCTTCACTAAAAGAAGAGCAAAACACTGCTCTGGAGGCTTTTCTCAGAGGAAAAGATGTTTTTGCTCTTCTCCCGACTGGTTTCGGCAAGAGTAGCCTGGCTTGTGGTTGTGTTTTCATCGTCGCTCTGTTAGTACGTCATATGCTTCGTTGATCTGATTGGTTTATTTGGCCCGTCTATCACCAACATAGGCCAATCAGCTAACCAGTATTTCCGCCCCTTCCCAAAATTACTTCAACGGAAGGTTTCCAGATGGATATGTGGAGCAAATCCATCTGGCGGAGTCAGGTTAAGTGTAGACAGCCATCATAAGCTAGGCTATTTGCTTAGGTAGCAAGCTAATAGGAGAGCCTGCTTTTGGAAAAAGTGTGAAAATTATAGCTTTTTATGTTATAACCTCGCACTCTTTAAACAAGGGATTTAATAAATGAATTACTGGGTTTTATATATTAGCGTAGTTTCCTCATGAAGCGACTCTGACCCGCTTTGAAAACAGCTGCTGAGATTAGCAGCCGATAGCCCAAACTGTTGGAAACAGCATGTGGAACAAACCACTATGTGGGATAGGGGTGTTCAGATTTTTTTAATGATTATCTAACTTTGTTTGATTTAGTAATATAATCATTTAATAATTTTAATAGACATTTTATTGAATATTAATATATTGTCAAATCAGCTGGGTTTACTTTGATCAAAGACTTTTAACCAAACTGTTGTGCTACTGTATCTCAAGATGACCAGTTCTGAATCTGTGCTAGTTGAACAAACTGTAATGAATTTGCAGTGAAATGTGCTATATAGTAAAGTTTCCTCTTTTTCTTCTTTATCCAGCTTTAAAAACAATTATTGACAGGAAGCAGTTCCCTTGGCTCTGACTGGCCACTCTCAGCTTTTCTACATAACAACCATTTGTTTAGATTTCAGTTTATTGGCTTCCTTTCCTCCCGCAGCGTCTTCTTCCCGATGAATAAAGTGAAATAAAGGATTAGAGTTCAGGTGACTCGTTATATTTTTCCTCAAAAATTAGTTGTTTAAATAACCTAGTCAGCATTGATCTGTCCTTGATGGCTAACCTTTTGACCTCTTCTCCATCAGTAGTTCTCACCCCTCTCTGTATTTTTATGGCTCCTCTTTTTCCTTCAGAACCCACAGCAGCTGTAATTAAATGAGCTGTGTTGAGCTATTAGCACTGAAATGAGTTGCTGGTCATATTCTGCATCGCATGTTCAGCCAGAGGCTGCAGTTTTCTGCTACAGACAGGTCAGAGCTGCTTCCTGGGGGACTGATGTGCTGCTGCAGCTTGTTCATCATGAACCTCACTGTCATCATCCACCCACCCCGTCATTCACGGCTCTGAGCCTAAACCTGACCTTTGACCCCATCTGGGCAGCTTCACCAGTGAGGCAGTCATGTTTGTCAGCTGCTCAGCTGTTCCTAAAATTACAGTAATTAGCCTCGTTGTGTGGCCTCAGTGTCTTTGTCTGTGACTGCTGGCTTTGACCTTTGCAGGGTCCCCCCCCCCCCACACTGATTTGCCACCTCAGAGTGTTTTTGCCAGATGTTGGACTATGAAGGAAAAATGTTCAGATTTTAGTAATGTGCTGATGCAAAATAAATAATTTAAGGTCTTAATCAGTGGTTGCTTTTTGTATGAGTGCAAAATTATAATTTTTTTTTAAATTTTTTAGAAGGAAAACCCAGAACAGCTATTCTTTGTTCCTATGATAGTTTTAAAACAGAATGCATAGAATGGCTCCCCCTTGTGGTTATAACACAATAATACATTTCATCATTTGGATTTTGACCCTAAACTACATTCTTAATGTACAGAAAAAGTAGCTTTTTTTGTGCTGTGAATTCATAATTTTAGTTTCTTTATTTTTTCGATTGGAGCTAAAAATCTAATATTTTGCCCTTTCAGACTCAGAATCAGACATACTTTAATAATCTCAGAGGGAAATTACATGAAAGAAACAGGTTTTTCTAAATTAGCCATGTACAGATAATTTTACTAAGACAGACAATTAACCAGATTAAGTTCTTAAGAGGAATTAATTTGTGAATAAAAATACCCTAAATATGCAGCATGCTGGATAAAGGTCTGAATATGATGCACCTTTTTTCAGGGAAATGCAACAAGCTTTAGACTGAATTCAGTCATTCACACCAATATCCACACACTGATGCTGGAAAAATAATAATGCTGAATCTATGCATCCATCCATCCATCCATCCATCCATCCATCCATCCATCCATCCATCCATCCATCCATCCATCCATCCATCCATCCATCCATCCGTCCCTTTATGCATCCATCCATCCATCCATCCATCCATCCATCCATCCATCCATCCATCCATCCGTCCCTTTATGCATCCACCCATCCATCCATCATTCATCCATCCATCCATCCATCATTCATCCATCCATCCATCCATCCATCCATCCATCCATCCATCCATCCATCCATCCATCATTCATTCATCCATCCATCCATCATTCATCCATCCATCCATCCATCCATCCATCC